GCAACTAGCGAAGGGAGGATTCCGTTCCTATCAAGCGTGCGCGCGCGCGCGCATTGCGTAAAATTAACAGTCTTGTTCTGACTCACTTTCCCGTCTGAGATTTCGGAGGAGAGAGTAGAAGCGAAGGAGGATCGAAGGGAAAGAGAAAGAGAAGACTATACGAGAAAATATTACGAAAGATAGAGCAAGATCGCGATACGCAAATGAGAGAAGAGGGGAGGATGGGAGGAAAGAGATAAGACGTCTCCTTTTTTACGCAGCAGGCTCTTTTTCTCTTCGATACATAATTTATCGAGTTCGGATGAATTCTCGAGTGCAATCGTACTTGCACGTTGCGTCGAAGGCACAAGTCACGAGAGGAGGAAAAATAAAGAGAAGAGGGTGGGAGGGAGAAGGAGAGATACTCGTCGGCGATAGATAAAGAGGAGAGGAAATAGCTCCGGCTCTTTGTCGCTGCGATGTGACGCACTCGCGGCAGCTGTGAACGCGCGTGTTGATTTTGGCTTAACTTGGAGTTATCAGCGTCGCTTAGTGTGTGCTCGGCCATGATATCTGCCTGACGTTTCTCCACGAGAGAACAGGACGGTGCTGCGCAGTGGCGCGATTGCAGTACGAGCTTATAGCACGTATAGACATAGTATATTTCCGACGCAATACCTTCCTGACATTAGGGAAATATTAATTAAAGGAATGTAATGGTGGCAGGAATATAATGGGACTATAGAGGTCATCGTCATAATTTTCATTAATATTTATATTATAGGATATAATCAATATACGACTATTGTCTATAAATGTTACCAATTACTCACACTCGGATTTTTCTCAATGAGACTATCGAATTTATTAAATATTCAAGTAATGCTATTTGTTTATATGTATTGTTTGAAAATATTTGACACATGTTTTGATTGCTTTAATAAATCTAGATATTTAAATTATTTGATATAAATTGTTTTAATATTATGAGGTATCTCTCTCTCTCTCTCTCCCTCTCTCTCTCTCTCCTCTCTTTCTCTTAATTTTTCCTTTTTGATAAAAATCCAAGAGTATTCGAGATAATTTCAAGTATCATTGTCGTAAATACGTTTAATATACAAGAGGATGGATGTAGGATAGCCTTTGGAATCTCTATGTTTATAGAACGAAACGTTGTGCATAAGTCTTGTTTAAGAATCGCTCAATTTTCTTCTAAAATAGTGGAGTAAAGCTTTACGAATTTGTGATGTACGTTAAATTTGATTTTAAAGACAGCAATTCGTTTATTCTTGATTTTTTTATTTCATCACGACCGCATCGGTGGAATTAAAAAACTGAGACATTGCACCAATTTCGCTGTTTGACTCAAAACTTGAAATTCGCTTTTTTAACTTTCTACTCAGTTATTATTGCGATAGTTTGGCGATCACTTTGAGGAAATAAAACGCGATTTTTTTTATAGTTACCCTTCTAAATGAAACGAAGAATTTGGAGATTAAAATAAAATATAATTTCAAAAAATTGGATACATTTGTCTGCAATAAAAAAATTTTTTTCTTTTAAATATTCAATTTATCTTTATATTTATTGGAGTAAATTTTATTAATTTTTTCCCCACTATTCCTTAAGCTTAAGAGGAATATTTCAATGTTATTTATATTACTTCGATTCTTACTTATCATCATTTCTTCATGAATGATTCATGTCGATAATAATTTAATAATAATAATTTCATTTTTTTGATATCTTCAATTTGAGGAGCGTTTTCCTCTAAACGAGTAGTCATCCATTTATTCTTTTTAAATCCTTCATTAGAATGATAAAAATCTTATCCATCAATTGCACAAAGCTCTCTATAAAAAACGTAGCGATCGTCGCGTCAAGATAGGGAAAAATGTCAGGAATTATTTTACTCGAATGTATATATATACAGTATATATATATATATATATATATATATATATATATATATATCTATAGCTGTAGGAAAAAATCTAATCTATCTCCTGGATAGCGATTTCAAAACGTAGACTATCTTTATGATGTCCTTCGTGCACATCGGGCGTGTTTATTCGGCTTCTCCTTCAGGGCTACGTCAGCTTGGCTTCCCGGAGCGCTTTGGACCCGCGTGGGTGCGGCCTCTCGACGAAAGGGAAAAAGAGGCCCTCCCTGCTCGCTCGTCAGAGAATTAGTGTGAGAGACGCTGACACTCTCCTCTCTTTCGGAATAGGTTCGACTTTTTTGCCTCTCTCTCTCTCTCTCTCTCTCTTATATTTTCGACGGTCCCCCACGCCTACAGCTTCAGGCATCAACACTCCCTCTCGCAAGGTCGCCCCTATCTGCCTTTCCTCTCTGCTACCCTCGGCGATATTAAGCCCCGTAGCGTCCAGGGAGAGATACATTTGTAGGGACGAAACTCGGCTAGAATCATGAGAAATATTTCAAGCTTCCATATTGCTTAAACGGATGTATATAGGTTTTTAAGATCGTAAAACTATTGAAAGAATCATCTAAAGATTAGGTAATAATACATGGACACTGAGAAAAAAGGTCGATAATTTGACTAAAAGCGTTTATAGTTGATTATTTTATATATATTCCTCTAGTTGAAATATTTAAAACACAAATTACTAAAGAAATACATTTGTTACGTTATTAATTTTGTTTTCTTGGTGTATCAATGATTATGATTTCGATAAGAACCTATCTATGGAATTCTTATTGTTATTTTTAATATGGAATGAGTGGATTTAAAAATATTTCTGCTTTCTAACTAGAGAACAAGGTTTCGTGACTCAATTCTGTTTTTGAGATCGAAACTCTGATATTCAATGTTACATAATTTCGTAACTTTGCAATCTCGTGTAAGAAAAGTATATTTTAAATTTATTTCTATCGTCATACAATTCCACTTTTTCCGCGTCAGTTTGTATACTAATAATTTTGAGTTAAATAATTTGATTGTGAACGATATTACTTCGCATAATTTTCTTAACAATCTTAACTAGAAAATATTGAGATTGGAAAATATGAAATTGATTGAGAAATCGATAATAATAATAATTTAATTCCGTTGTTAATCAATTTATGATTAATTAACGCGAGATGTGGGCGAGATTTATGGAATTTTTGATTCAGAAACTTGATTGTGTTACTTATATATTAGTGATAGAAACATGCTAGGGTTATACGAGATACCAAGATTAATCTTGATATTCTCAAAATTTGAGACAAGATCAAGACAAGATTTTTAATTAGTTATCAAAATGATACCAAGACTAAGATTATTGGTTTTCAAGATTATTGGTTTTATCAAGATTTTCAAAAAAAGATGATAAAATATGTTTGTAAATTGGGGATGAAAAAAATCACTATATTATATACGAATCATTATATTGTGTATTTAAAATATTTTATTTAGTAAATAAAATTATTTATATTAACAAATTTAGACACAATTAATACGATAGAGAAAATAAATAATAACAATATAAAAATTTATATAATTATTTAGTTACACAAAAAACTTTAAGTACAATAAATGTATACAATTTTTTTCTCTACGTGCGTGTGATTCTGGCATCATTGTATACAATTGTCTTTTCGTAGAAATTAGGAACGAATATATAATATATATTATATACGTTGTATTTTTTAGAATAACACATAAATAGTAACAATTATTTTGAATATTATAAAGATTTTTTCTTAATATGATAATTTAAATAATTGTTCAATATTAGATAAAAATTGTTAATAAAATCGAAACAAAACAATACGCGAAATTTTTACTACAAAAAAATTCACTCAAGCTCAAGATAAGATATAAATTTTCGAAAATTTTGTCAATACAATATTTTCACGAATATCATCTTGAATCTAGTACAACCCTGACACACATATATAGACACACAAAATATGTATATATTATAATTTATATATAACTTGGAGAAGAGAGAGTTTGCAGTGTCTGTTCCAATTGTCGTAACCTTTAATTCAATTGGCCTAATATCGTTTTATCGTATATACGATATTCCACTTTCTAGTAATCTCCTCTGTATTCCCACGAATATCGATAGCTACTTAAATTTGCTCACTATTATTGAACATCTCATCTTAATTCTAGAAAGTGTATACACTCAATTTAACGTCAAATCACTTCGACAAAAGTAATTCGTGGTGTAATGACGGTGATATAACGTCGACATGTTATGCTCATACATTGATATAACATATGTTCATGCGTAATATTCGAGTAACATAATAATTGGGCGCACATTAATATTGCGATCTCTTTTGAAATTTTTTCCGCGTTAAAGATAACGATGTATCTCTCGCGCGAGAGAATAATATATCGAACAATTCATGTGCGCATTTAATTATTCTTATCATTATATATTTTCGAAATACCATCTCTTTGCAGAAAGGAAATTAATAAATCGTCGCTTGAGTTTTTTTGCACTTTTTCTATCCTTTTCTATCTTGTTCTTATCAATTTAATAGGACAATATCAACGTTTTATCTAAATTCAAAAATTCTTCTCCTTTCATTTATTATATATTATAGCTATTTATTATATTTTTATTTATTTATATCTCATTTTATTTTATTTTACATATTATATTATTATTACATATTATTTACTTGTTATTATTTATTTATTTGCAGAAGGAGGGAATTAATAAATCGTCGCTCGAATTTTTTTGCACTTTTAAAACGAGAATACGAGTTGTAATTTGCTTCTCGTTCTTCTCTATTCTTTTACATGTCTATTTTGTTCTATCGATTATTTGTAAAGGGACAACATCATTGTTAAATCTAAATTCATTCTCGTTTCATTTATTATATATTATTTTATTTATTATATTTTTATTTATTTATATCTCATTAATTTTATTTCATACTTTACCATTTCATACTTTACTTGCCATTATACATTATTTACATTTTATTTTATTCATTTTACATATTATTTTATTTTATTGTATTCATATACATGATTTATTTATCGCATAGTATTTATCATAGTTGCTCCGAGTTCGAACTTGACGTGGCACTTGACGCGATACGTCCGCACCTGCGATACGTCTTTTCCTCGCCCCACCACCGTCATCGCCTATAGTAGTTTCCCCTACCTCGCGGACGACCATCTCCACCTTCCCCCCACCCCTCCGCAATCCTTTCTGCTTGCTCCGTTCGGTTCAGTTCGTGGTGCGCCGCCGTCGAGGCAAGTGTCGCGCGAGAAGACTCGTCCTCGTGTCTCGTTCCTTCAAGTCGCGAGTGATACGCGCCCTATAGAGAGAAAGAGAGGGAGAGTGTACATGTGTATCTGTGTGTCAGCGGTACACAAGAGTGCGTGCACGCGAGTGCGATCCCGTACGTTTACCGATCGCTGTGTGTGTGTGTGTGTGTGTGCGTGTGTCTGTATCGGCGTGTGTCGTATACTACGTTTCCGTCTCTGCTTTCGATTCTCGTCGTGGCTTCTGCTCTCGTGTACACACACACACATAAACGCACACGCACCCGCCTTCTATATAAATACACGGCGAGCGAGAGACGCGCGCGCGCGCGCGCACGCACACGCACGCACCATCCGGAGGCATGACAGCGACGCGGGAGTGTTACCCCATACGGTAGGAGAATACAAACTATAACACATTCGTAATCCCTCTTGCCCTCGCGCGATCGCGATCGCGATCGCGAGCGAGCGAGCGAGCGAGCGAGAGAGAGAGAGAGAGAGAGAGAGAGAGAGAGAGAGAGAGAGGGAGAGAGAGAGAAAGAGACAGATGACGACGATGACGACGCGACGAGGACGACGGGCGGCGACTAAAGGCGAAGGCTGCCTTACACGAGCACCTCGAGTGCGTAACCGAGTGTGACTCGGGAACGACGGCCACGACTTGGCCACAATTGTTTTGTCCGAATCGATACGCCCCTCCGGCGACGACGTCGACGGCGGCGGCGGGCATTTCGTATGCCGTGGAACGCACGGCGGAAATGGACTTTCGTCGCGTGTGTATGTGTGTGTGTGTGTGTGTGTGTGTGTGTGTGTATGTATGTGTGTGTGTGTGTATTTGTGCGTTTGTGTGTGTGTATGTGTGTAACGTTCGTGCTCGCCGAGGCCGCGGAGAGAGTCGAAATCTACGTTTCACCTTCTTCCTATCCTTTGTTTTTTTTTTCATCCACGTTCCTTTATCGCGCGCGTGCGCGCGCGACACACACATACACGCATATATATTTATTTATTTACTTATTCGTTGCTTTTCCGACACACTCTCTTAACCAATGCTTTTCATTTGCGTTAATCTTGTCCGATCGCCAAGTCCAAATGTCTCGCACGCCGAGGGATTCAGATATTTAAATTTGACAGTCCATCCAATTCCATCTTTCGGATTTTTCAAAATTTAATTTTCTTCTAATCACCTTCTTTAAATGTATTTCTTCTTTATTGTTTATTACAGAACTTTTCTTTCTCGTTTTTAATAAATAAATAAATAATAAATAAACAAATAATAAATTTAATTAATTTAATTAATAAATAAATTATTAAATAAAATTTAATGAATAAATAAATAAATAAATAAATAGATAAATATATCGTTTAATCGCGAGATATCGCGCCGAAAGTTTTGCCATCTCAGACGTTTGTTGTCGTCGTGTCGTCGTCATCGTCATTGTCGTGGTTACTGTCGATTGTCATCGTCGACCACGGTTAGCTCCGCGATACAAACGAGTGCCAAGGAGTCTTTTCCCGTTGGCGATCTGTAGACTCGCAGCTGGCGGTATTCAAGACGAGACACTTGTGTTTTGCCCGAACCAAAGCACTTTTCTGCGCCGATAACGAGCGAGCCTACCCTTGTACCTTTGTGTTCGCGGTCGAGCAAATCTTAGTAAACTTGGATTGAGAGCGAAAAATATAAACAGGTAACGAAAATCAAGAGAGCTTGAACGAGCTGAAATTCCGAGACGCTCTGTAGAAACTGCGCAAAACATGCGTTGTTTACTCGATTCGACGAACGAGACGATTTATACGAAACGTTTGCCTCCTCCCCCCTTCCCCGTGTCTCTGTAGCATCGCGATGATCGAGTCCATTATCGTCGTGATTAACTCGTGATTTCTAAGATCGCTGGTATCTATAGATATCGTGTACTTGCCAAACTCCCCTTTTTCTTCGATACGATTAATTACGTCTATGGCACTTGGCCACTCAATCGATACTTATCGTAGTGTCCTAGAATTAACGGATGATAGGAATACATATAGTGCAATTTAAGATTAATATCATTTTGACAAAAGCTGTTATGCACTTGCTATTCTGCACTTTTCCAAGAATTTTACTTAAAAAAATTTTTATTTTAATTATAAATAATGATTTTTTTTTAATAATAGCGATATTGTCAGATATCTTTATGAGTAGAATTAACGGAAGATAGGAATATATGTAGTGCAATTTAAGATGAATATCATTTTGACAAAAGCTGTTATGCACTTGCTATTCTGCACTTTTCCAAGAATTTTATTTAAAAAGATTTCTATTTTAATGATTAATAATGATTTTTTTTAATATTTAAATAATTGCGATATTGTAAGATATCTTTATGAGAGTAGAATTAATCTTTCCTCATATAGGAGATGTTCTATAGTGATTTTTGTTTTATGTAATTTTTTTATTATTTGTTCTTGTCTCTATCGGTTTATTTAGTAACTTTAATGATTTTCTGAAAGTGTTCGCGTATCTCGACATTTTCATAAAAACCAACTACGTATATTTCGTAAGAAAAAAATTTCACAAAATTTTTTCACAAACTCTCGACGAGACGTTTCGGTCTGATACGAAAAATGCGATACGAAAATAGCATTTCTCACGCATATCGAATGTTACTTAACGAAGAGGACACACATTCAAAAGAGTACATTTTCCATTCGTCCTACGAATTAATTCTTTCACGCTTTTTTTTCTTACGTTTTTTTTTAATTATTATCGAGTTTTAATCATTTAGGTGATTTTTTTTATGAGAATAATACAATTACGTCACTCGCAGGAGATAAAACAAATTCTATCTCGCGTTGAACACAAGAAATTAAACTTAGAAGATATTTTTTTTTACATACATAAACGAGACTGTACAAGACTGTACAAGACTGTACAAGACGCATTGTATTTCAGATTTGCATTGTATTTATTTTTCGCATCGCATCGCATCGCATCTTCATTTAAATCGACGTTGCATTTAAAATACTCTTGCATTGTCTGATGAAATATTTACGTCTTGCTGACATAGCAAATGTCATCGGTGACTCTTTGGAGCATCATCTTTCCTTTTCCTCGTGATCGATTCTCGAGCTTCCTCAAGCTAGCAGAAAATAAAATTTAATTGCTCGTTGCGTGAAACACTTGTATTTCGTACGAAGATGTATGTTTAATTTTAGATATCGAAGAACTATAATAATATATTTTTAAAAAATATTGATATTTTTTTATGCGAATTTTTTTTATTGGGAATTCATCTTCAAATATATTAAATTAAATTAAAATTATAAGTATGATAAAGGCGATAAATATAATAATATAGTAAAAAAATATAAGAAATATATATAAAATTTCATATAAAATATATATATATATATATATATATATATATATATAAATATATATATATATATGATAATGAAATATTTATAAAATAATAAAAATATAGAAGAAAAAATAATACAATTAATACAATACATTCTTGCTTATGATTATTATGAATTAGTTACGTGACAGATAAATTTATTATCAATGCGAATATGAGCTTCTTTAAAATGACGTCTTTGAAAGATTCGTCGCGACTATCATATCCATTAAAAAAATATGAAAATATTAAATCGAGATTATTTGGGTTAAAAAAATGGACGTATGCATATATATGATAATTACTTATTTACACACGACATATATTAAAGGTAACTGGGATCTATGAGGAAAGTTTCTAGACGCATAAACACCATCTAAATGCTTTGAACGTGCGCTTGAACCGCCGGTGTAAAATGGGAATGAAGATTGTCTTCGAGGTCCGACATTGAACGCGCGCATGTATATTCAGTTAGATTCGCGACTCGTTCTTGAGCGCTTTAATGTTCCTCGTTTATGCACGATAAATAAATAGAATAAGTGAGTCGGTTATGCGATCGGAACTTTGCTGACGTCGGTCATGCAAACACTCGCCGGTCACATTTATATTATCACGTGTCGTGTGTGTCTGTGTGTGTGTGTGTGTGTGTGTGTGATAATATCTAAATTTTCCGCGCCACATCATTAGGGTTTAATGAAACGTGGCCGCGAAATGAAGGAAAATTGATTTGACACTTGTAGGATATTTTCATTTTCAAGATTCTCCCGAGTCGAGCCTGGTATTTTCGACCGATTCTCTGACCTCTTTCACTTCTGTTAAACGTGTACTTTAATTAACAATAATTTTGATCGCGTTATATTCATTTTTTTTGTGTAATAATGTATTCACCTTCGTATAATTGACAAATCAAATTGGAGCAGCCTCGTCTTGTAACTTTAGGACGATCTGCGAAGCACGATGACGTATCGCGCGTGTGTGTACGTTCCATCCTTGTCTCGTCTTCGACGTGTGTTCTCTCTCTTTCTCTCGTCTCGTCTGTTACCCCGGTTTGCTCCTTCTCTCCTTTGTCGAAGCTATCGTCGATTCATGGTGCGCCCATCCGGCCATCCACCCGGAGAAATACGATATCGTTGCGATAAACAATGTCTCTTTCTTCTTTTCCTGAACGCATCGTAGCGTTATCACACCCACAATCCCGAAACTTACGGCTATACTTTTGTTTCTCGTGCCACTAAATACGTTCTTTCGCTTCTCTGCCGCGGCGCTGAAGGAAACGTTTTCGGAGCTCTTTGTTTCGAATGAAAAAAATAACTTTTCGTTCAGTTTCGTTTGATGCGCGCGTGAGTCGGGAAACTTTTAAATGTACGATAAATCGAAATGTTGAGGGCAACTTTGTCATAATCCTTACGCACGAAAAATATGAAGCATAAAATGATCATTTTGTTTAGAATCTTTTCAATTAATAATTTGAAATAAAAAATAAAAATTACTAGATAGCTTATTGTTGTAGGAAATTATTTATTTTCGACATATTTTTATTTACAAAGGATAAGAATCGATAGTTTTATAAAGAATCAGACTCTCTTTGTGCTTCCTACGTGGAAGGAACGTTCTTTTAATTGAAAATAACATACAAATCTATATCTTTGTACACTGCATACGTTAATCATTTAATGTCGAAAAAATACTCTTTGAATGAAGAAACAAATTCCTTTGTTCTAATATTAGATATTTACGTTGAATATTATCGCAACATGTTGCTGATATCGTAAATGAGTTTGAGCAAAGGATAAAGTTTGCTTGAATTGCCAATATTATCTTTGACATTGCGATTATCTTAATCACGTGATCCGGAAGAAGACTATATATATATATATATTTGAAGCTGTCTCTTTTTTTGAATAAAATATAAATTTATTCCGACCTAAGACACTCAAGATGTTGCATATTTACGAGTACGGCTAACCGCATTTCATTACGATGCGATCAAACAGCGATACGTCGTCTTCCTGTAAAC